AAATCCTGAAATTAGAAGTCATTGTTGGTGCCTGTAGTTGAGAGAAGGATATGGTTTTGGATAAGCGTACGATAAGCGTACTAAATGCTACTTTACACTTTAAAGAGCTGAAATCCTGAAATGTTATACTTGGGCCTCTGTTGGTATTTGAATGTGGTATTTAAACAAATACGTACTATTACTGTCTGAAAAGTACTAAATGGTAATAATTTCGGATCACTGTTGGTGTCTAGGACGGAGAGATGCAGATAGTTTTGGATATGCTAAAATGTTACTAAATTTGGTATTGGGTGAAGGAATATAGCTAAAATGCTGAAATTTGATATTCAGGTCACTGGTGGTTTCTAGGGTTAACATATGGAGGTGTTGAAATCGGAAAATTGGATGTGGGTCTATTGTGAAACTGAACAAATTGTGCATTTTAAGTATTTACATGTAAAAAAAACAATAAGATCGCCAGGGCCGAACTTTGCATACCCTCCACCTTTTGGAACGAACTTGGAAATTTTCAAAGCAACTTTCTGTCACAGGCTGTAGTACCCATTACGAAGTGCAAATACGAAACTTGAAATAATTCCGGTGAATAATGTCCCTAAAATCACACAAATACCGAATATGGGGAGGTATAGTTATATGGGAGCTATACAAAGACCTGGACCTGCATATGCAGTTTTCAGTCATAGGCTGTAGAACCCAAATACCCGCTTAAATCACCAAAATACCGAAAATAGGGAGGTACCATTATATGGGGGCTATATCAAAACGTGGACCACATGGCCCATTTTCAATACCAAACGCCCTGCAGATATAATATACATTTGAGTAAAATTTTATCAGCTTTCTTCAATTCGTTCGGAAACTAGAGTGATTTCCACAGAAGGACGGTCATCGTTTAATCGACATCGAATTTTTGCTGATCAAGAATATATATACTCTGTTGGGTCTAAAATGTATATTTCGAAGTGTTACTTCCATACAACGAATCTAAAATTTTTGAGGTGGACTTTTCGCTGACGAATTATATTATAGAGGATCAGTTTTCCAAAAATAGCTGTTTTTAATCCAGAGCGAGCTCTGTAAGTGTTTTTTAAGGTTAGGGGAAGCAGAGTTGTTTTCAGACCCCTTATTATGTTTTTTGTTGTCATTATGGCGTTGCCCTCAGTTGTCGAACTATATTGGAGGAAAACTTCGATTCTCTATGCCCCTGTTCACGAATATTGAAGCTAGTAAATTGTCCTTCCTTTTTTTTTATTATTTTTCTACTATGAGGTTTTCTTTTGAAAACATGCCGACCTCTTCAATTGACTGGCCACATATGGCTCTTGAAAATATTTTCACCTTCGTTTATTAGAAGAACGAACACGTTCGCAAGAAAAAAAATAATAATTAATTTGCTAACGATGTTGTTTTCATTTCATCAGGCCCGTCAATGTTCTCAAATTGAAGAGCTATAGATTGATCGAAGAGACATATTTGTTATCTCATCTCAATTAAAGCGTTTAATTACTTGAACACAGCAAACATGTGAACATATTTGTTCAGCGTTTAACCGCATTTGGCCAATGGCAGACAATTTGCAATGATTTTGCTTGCTTTTTTTGTTCTAAGAAAAGCTCTCTGTGTTAATTTGACCATTCAAGTTCACACGTTTGTTTGATTTAAGCTTTTCAAATTAAGAATTATTTTTTTTTTCTAAAAAAAAATTACAAAAACAAGTTCATTGCTAACGCAGTTTTACAACAAAATAATGACAACATCCAACACATAAGGCCTTAGAAAAACATTAAATGACGCAAGGCGCATGCGTGCACGTCAAATGTCAATAAATCGGACATTTGACAGCCAAGCAGTTTGGTGTAAACAAGACAAAAAAAAAGCGAACACACACCCTCTTCTTCGTTTCTCCTTTAACAAAAGAAGTCTTTACCAAATTTGTTGCCATTTTTTTTGAAACCAAAAAATATTAACCGCAGTTTTTTTTTGTCAAAACTTGACAATGAATGGATTTTTGTGAACAAGTCATTTTGTCCAGTTTCCCATATATCTAGGCTGAGTAGTTATGCTCAAAACCGTGTGACCCACTGGACCGTCGACCACAGCAACAACAACAGGTTTCCTTATATGACAAGGTCCTAGTTTGTGTGTTTTTTTCTCTTTGCTGTTCGTTTACCTCAATTAGCTGCAATAATTGCTAATAAAGTTGCAATATTTTTGTGCGAGCTGTAATAATAATCTCCTCCGCTCATAATCGCTTATGGCAATAATGTTTAGTTTAAGTTTTTGTTAGTTTGTTGCTTTTTTTTTGGTAATTCAGAATATTTTATGGTCTTTTTTCGTATAAAATATGTGTAAATTGTTAACCATTTATGGGCAAATTAATTAAGTTTTGATTTTTTTGGGAGGTGAGAATATTATTGAGGCTATATTAGATAATTCCATATAATGAAAACAGTTGAGATATAATTGGTGAGATTGGTGAGAACAATTTTTGCAAAGTCCTAAAATATGACGCCCCTTCTAGTCTAGATGGGATTATAGAAAACTACTTGAAGGCTTCCTGTTTTTTAGAAGGCACTCTATTTTATAGAAAACCCAAAAAAAGGTCTTTCTTTGGTATTAAAGACCTCTTTATGCGAAACATGTTTTATGCGAAAAAAATCATCTCTTTTAATAGAAGACCTCTAAAAGTTGTTTTCCATAGACGACATGTAAAAGTTATATCCATCTTCTTTTCACATTTGGACCTTAGAAAACCTTAAAAATTAAGTTTATTTTAAAGAAGATATCTTAAAAATCATTTGCTTTATAAAAATCTGCTAACGGGTCTTCATTTCTATGGAAGTCTGCAATAACGTCTTCTATTTACAGTTTATTTGAAAAATTACACCGAACCACAAAAAAATAAGTACAGGAAATTTCAGCAGATTATGAAAGTATAACCAACAATAACAACAGCTGTAAGTTCAGCCGGGCCGAACTTTGAATATCCACCATATGGAACCAGTTTGGCTATTTTCAAAAAAAAATAAAATCAGTTAAAAATTCTGTTAAAATCTGGCGTGGCATCAGGAAAAAATTCTGAATATTATCGCGAAAATATTCTGGGCACGCAAACATTTTGGCCGCAGACCTTGGACATTCCAACAGGTCTCAGTACCATCGCACTCAGCACGTGCCACTCAAGAATGGTTACAAAGTTCCTCGCTTCATTACCAGCGCAAAATGGCCACCAAAATCTCCGGATACCAATCCGTTGGACTATTGGGTCTGGAGTATTTTGGAAACCAAAGTTGGTACTAAAAAATACCAAAGTGTCGATCACCTCAAGCAAGTGCTTCGCCGGGAATGGTCCAAAATACCGCAGCAACCTTCGGGCAGCGTGTGACTGTTTCATTGGCCGTTTGAAGGTCATAATTCGTGCCAAAGGTGACCAATTCGAACAAATCTAAACTTATTCTAAAATTTGATGATATTTCCGACATTTTTTGCTTTTATTTATTAAAATATAAAAAAAATAAAAATTATGGCGTTTGACTTTGTTGCAGTTTGTTTATCTCACCCTGTATATATAGGCTATAACTATATCTGAACCGATTTTAACCAAAATTTGAAACACTAGCTTTAAGCCGAAATCCATCGGAAGAGTCAAAAGTCGATCTATTTAGGCTGATATTAGCCATTATTGCCACAATAAACCTGAGATCGGATTAAGGATATATACGGGAGCTATATCCAAATCTGAAACGATAAAATTTGGCAAAGGTATTTTAAAGCTCTATAAGATATTTGGTACTAAAAATTATTATTGTTGGATGCATATTACGCATGTGAGGGACGTAAACACCAAATCGGATGAAGCATATATATGGGAGCTATATCTGAACCGATTTCCAGCAAATTTGATGTACTTTCTTCTAGACTGAATTTGGTTGGATGTGCCATAATTCAGGACTGTTGGGCTGATATTGGCCATTTGGTGCATAAATAATATCTAATATCTAAATAATATCTAAATCTGATTTGATTATCACCAATTTAAATAGGGTTCGTCCTTGGGCCAAACAAATGTTGTTTGTTCACAAAAATACATGGATGGACAGTCGGGCAGATGGACTGACATGAATAAATCGAGTCATAAAGTGATTCTATGAAGATTCTCAAAAGTAACTATGGGCCTATCTCGTTTCCTTCTCCATGTTACAAACAAATGTACAAAGACATAATACCCTTACCACTATATGGTGTAGAGTATAACAATCCGTGCTTAATTGCCTTTCGATTACCTCTAAAAATCATTTAAAAATTCTCATCAAAGCCAATCATATACATTGTTTCACTTGGATCCTTCTTAAAATTTTCATTAATATACCCCGCTTATTCTCTCGAACTTCGCTTAAGACAACTTGATAAATTTCCTCATAAAAAAACGAATTTAAAAAAAAATTTTTCAAACCAAAAACTGGTATTGTGGGTGTTGCGAAACAAAAAAAATATCCATCGCCAACAAATAGCAGCAACAACAAAACCTATGGCGAAAGATTGAACCAAACTCAAAATCATTAATGAAATATTTAATTACTATTATTTTCATTAACTCGAGAACTCGCTTTTTTTTTGTTTTGTCAGGCAATAAAAATAAAGCAATTATAAATTGTTAACATTTAAAGAACCGCATAGAAGACAGAAAGAGAGACAACTACGAACGAACAAATCACGATTTGAGAAAAAATAACTTTATAAGGAAAATAAAAAAATATATTACAAAAATAAAAAAATGATATTCATATTTATATCGTGAGAATTCCTTTAATAGATTTTCTTTGTTGTTTGAAATTTTCTAAGACCCCGTTTCAGGTTGTGCCTTGGCTGAAGGAGGGGTGGGGGCGTTATAATTATGTTGAAAATAAATAGAAGTATTAAGTGATTTATCACACTCGCCGTGAAATTGGCGATTAATTTTGTATTTGGGAGGAGATTTCAAGGGGCCAATGAATACTTACCGCACCAGAACCTTTGGGTTTAGAGGCAGCCACATAAGCTAAATACTGAATAACTTTTTTCGTATTTTCGGTTTTACCAGCACCTGATTCCCCGGTACACAATATGGATTGATCTTCGCGATCTGTAAAAAGAATTACAAATAAATCATTATTATGAATATTAGTAAAGGAAAACATGAAAAAAATTGAAGCTATTCCAAAAAGTGGGCCGATATGATCCATTTTCGGTTCCAATTATTCTAGATGTAAAGCAAAGATCTCTATCAAATTTCAAAGAAGGAGTGGACCGATACATCCCATCTTCACAGCATATCTTGTGTTAGTAGAAATAATGGGATGTGTGAAATATGAAGAGAACCGGATGTTTATTTCGGATTTTATGATCGTTTTGGTTATTCAAAATTTTGACCCTTTGTGAGGGAGGTACCAGAAGGATTGGTCCGATCTTATACTATCTTTATAACAGATATTATGTTGATAGAAATATTGAGATGTACCAAATCAGAATGGAATCGGATGTTAATTTTGCGTTGTATGGCTTCATGGATATTCAAAATTTTGACCCTTTGCAAGGGAAGTACCGAAATATATGGTCCGATCTTTACCATCTTCACAGCAGACCTTGTGTTAGTAGAAATAATGGAATGTGTGTAACATGAAGAGAACCGGCAGTTTAATTCGGATTTTATGATCGTTTTGGTTATTCAAAATTTTGACCCTTTGTGAGGGAGGTACCAGAATGAATTATCCGATCTCTATCATCTCTATAACAGATCTTGTGTTGATAGAAATATTGAGTCAAGTCTGAATGGAAACGGATGTTAATTTTGGGTTTTAAAGGGGAAGGCACCAGACGGAGTGAACCGATATATTTATCTGCACACCAGACCTTGGGGTAACAAAAATATTTTGGAGGCAATCGGACTCTTTCATCACATTTTATAAGTGTTATAATTACTCAATATTTTGACTCTTTGGGAGGTACTTGATGGAGTGGACCAATATTGCCCAATTTCGCACCTAACCTAGCACTGACGCAAATATTAGGATTTGCAAAGTTGGAGCAAAATCGGAATATCCTTTCTCTTTCTGTGCAGTAGTATATATATATTTTTTGTTTTGCTTGAAATTTCGACCTTTTTTCTGGACCGATATTGTCCATTTTCGAACACTATCTAACTTTGATAATAATATTACGATGTACCAAGTTTGAACCAAATCGGATACTCCCTATGAGAGTTATCGTGCGTACCAGCCAGCCAGATAGACAGACGGACTGACGGACATCGCTAGATCGACTCCAAATGAGACACGTTTTGGCCGTATCAAATGAAATATACCCTATCTAGCCATATGGCTGAGGGTATAAGAAAAACCAAAAAGACTCCTTTGTTGACTCGTTTTTAGGATTACAACTTCCAATTGAAATATACCTAGTATTTTTTGTCTGCAAAATTGGTGAAGGCACTATATACTTAAAATGCACGGTTTCCAAGGAATCTTAATACGATAATTTTCAAAAGTGTGGATGTGGGTGAAATTCCTCCCCACATTTAGGTTCTTTTTTCTACTTTCAAAATCGTCTGGATTTTTCACGTAATTATTGAAAATTAGAATTTTGTCGCGCAGTGTTATTGTTTCCTTTTAGTGCTCCTCAGAATTTCCTTTTGAGTCCCCTATAAGTTGTTTAGGAGGCGCTCTTAGTGGCTCGAGAACCGCCATGGAAAAAGCATCTCTCTTTCAACTTATTTACGTTGTTTTATTTTTTCTTCTTACTGCTGGGCTTTAGGTATTACCCCGTTTGTTATTGCCACTACTCATAGTTGGCTAGGGTGTGTCTGGTATTCAATTTCAAATTCAATATCGAAATATCTTCATAATCTCTGCTTATGCCTTTGCGAGTGAATGCTGTTATTGTTGGCATTGGCATATCTCATTGCCAGATATTTTCTGTGCAGATACGAACTGACTGAGTGGCTGGTTGGTGGTCACCCAGCAACATTGAATGGGAAAGTAATTAAGAAATGTAGCCTTGTTCGTAAACAAGCCCAGCGGTCAATAGCACTACTCCAAGGGAGCTTAATTTTCTGGTTATCAATTTCATCAACTGCTTTTTTTCATTGGATACATTTTTTTTTTTTTTTGATGGCATGCCAAAATCAGAAGGTAACAACCTAAAGACTTCCATTTTTAAAGTTTTGTATTATGTTCAGGATAGAAACGTTGTAAAGCTCACAAAAACTAGGTTAAATCCCATAAATGTTGCTACTAATTTTTTTTGGGTGCCACCCTTGTCAAATCCCCAACATAATTGTGTGCGGTGGGTCAGTCACTCCTGTTTCCCTGCTCCAGTTTTCATCATTCATTTGGATAATGTAATATGCTGTCATACAGGGCCGCGGGAAGATATGTATGCATGACTCATCATCGTCGCGGTCTCCACAACATATTGCAGTTTTGAAAAGGAAGTAATGAACGAGAAATCGTTGATAGCAACGCAACTTTTTCTACCAAATCTGTCCCCCTCCAACCCGCACCCACCCATCGCTCCAACCAATCCCTTTTCATGTGTGAATGGCACGTTGAAGCGCTTTGCGTTTAAAACATGACTGTCCAGTTGGTTGGTCATTATTTCATTTGTCTGCGATATGCTAATATCAGCAAATTTCTCTCGCTGCATACGTCTGAGATGGATGAGTCATTTTATGCAAATCGGAATCCGCTATTGTGAAATGCTACACTTATCACTCGTTTTTATAGAGTGTCACTTTATAAGCTGCGGATATATGAAAATGCATATCGTTGAAGAAACATAACTATTGGCGTAGTTTTAAGGTTCTTTGAAAAAAAAAAAAAAAGAATAAAAAATAAAATAAATTCAATTTTAAAATGTAAGTAAAGGCTATAGTCGTGCAGTGCCGACCATGTGATACCCTACGAAACTACAATCTGTTTGAAGCCCCCTTATGTCCAAATCCACATTGAAAGATTTCGTTTTTGAGACGATGTCATAGAGCCCTGCCCAGATGTTACCCTTTGGTTTTTGCCCGGGGGCATGTGTCCAATATTTACGCATTCCGTCGTGTTGTTAGGTGATCAAAACAATTTCACACGAAATATGTTGTTCATTTTACAGCTAAATATAATCCAATGGTCATCTGAAAATGCTTGACTTCTTCCCTGTCCTTAACTCTCTTCTCATACAAAAGTCCGTGTCGATTTGTTTTCAAGTATGACCTGTATAGCGACTTCAAAATCCGGAACATTTTAATGTTTTTGGACCATTTGAATCCCTGAATGTACATCGTCCAAAACAATAGGCTTTAATTCTGACCCTAACCCTACCCCCATGCAAAATTACATGAAGATAATTGCGACCTGTATATACAGGGTGAGATGAAAAAACTGCAACCAATTTCAGACTGCTGTCATTTCTAAGCCACTCGTCCGACAGCTGTTAAAATTATACCAGTGACTGCTCATAATATTGTCTACAAGCGTGCAAAAGCATTTTTGATGAGAATTTTCCAGAAAAAAGTTAAAAGTGATTTCTTTATATTTGGCTGGGAAACCACAAGTGGATATCGTTAGAGCACTTTAGGATTTAAATGTGAATAAATCTTTTGTGTCTCGTACCATCGCTCGTTACCGTGATACTGTTAGCGTAGCCCGACGTCAAGAAAGTAGACGAATGAAAATAGCAACATCAGCAGCTATGGTTCGAAAAGTAAAGAAAGGATTTGATCGAAACCCGCATCGTAGTGGCCGAAAAAAGACTCGTGAGCTAAACATATCGCAATATTCCATTCGGCAAATATTGAAACATGAGCTCGGGGTAAAGCTATTGAAATTCCAAAATGTGCTAGAACTTACACCGCAACAAAAAGAAAATAGACACAATATAGCTAAAGAGTTGCTTCGCTTGGCCGAAAGTGGTGAACTGCCGAATTCCGTTTTCCCCGATGAGAAAACATTCCTTGTCCAGTAGTTTGTAAACAAACAAAATGATCGTATTTACTTGCCAGATAGGTCATTTGAAAATTTGCACCTTCGGTTGGCCACCAGAACTCAAGCGCCGGCCATGGTGATGGCATGGGCCGCCATAATAGACGATGATCGACCGTGGTATCAGAATAAATGCCGAATATTATCGCGAAAATATTCTGGAGGGTGTATTAAAGCCTTGGGCACGCAAACATTTTGGCCGCAGACCTAGGACATTCCAAACGGGCTCAGTACCATCGCACTCAGCACGCGCCACCCAAGAATGGTTACAAAATGAGGTTCATCGCTTCATTTCCAGCGCACAATCTCCGGATACCAATCCGTTGGACTATTCTGTCTGGAGTATTTTGGTAAGCAAAGTCGACACTAAAAATACCAAAGTGTCGATCACCTTAAGCAAGCGCTTCGCCGGGAATGAGCCAAAATTCCGCATAGCAACATTTGGGCAGCGTGTGATGGTTTCATTGGTCGCTTCAAGGCCATAATTCGTGCCAAAGGTGACCAATTCGAACAAATCTAAACATATTCTAAAATTTGATGCTATTTCCGACATATTTTGCTTTCATTAAATAAAATTTAAAAAAAAAATGTAAAAATTATAAAATTATTAAATTATAAAATAATTTTCAGAATTGTCCTTTGAAAATAAAATTTAGGCTAGAGTTCCTCAAAAGATTTATATAGTTTCCTTAAATATTTAAAAATTAAGAAATACATTTTAATAATCAATAATCAGACATTCAACCTTCAAAAAATCGACAACTTTTGCAAAATAATTAGAAAAAAAAAAAATATTCTGATAAACCTTAAAAAAATATTTTTATAAATTCCTCGAAACAATTAAAAAAACACACACACGATTTAATATTTATTTTTTAAAAAACTCAAACAATGAAAATATTTATTGAAAAGAACACAACATAAACGCCCTCCAACAAACTATAACCTTATTTTTGTCACCCTCTGTATATATATTTTTGGTGTTATCTTGTTATTTAATTTGGATTTTTATCTAAAACCAACCGAAAATATTATCTATGGACGTAAGCTTTAGAAATAATTTATTTTTAAATCTATTACGTCTAAAAAAGACTCTCACCGTGGATTTAGGCAAAAA